CATATGGCTACTATGTCATTTAATTCATCAATGGAATACACAAGTTGGTATTAATGAGGGAGTGATTTGTGCACTTAGTCAAACTATTGGACCAGGTCCATTTTATAATTTGCTGATATTAATAGTAGGGTTAAAAATGAACGATTTTGCTATGAAGCCAATAGTTGACTTCATATTGGAGTCAACCTTCTATATACAGCAAATAAACCATAATATATTAATAAAATTATATTAGTGTTATTTAAGTAATTAGATAATATAGTAGGTTTACTTGTTGTATATTGAATCTACTTCCGCCATTAGCTAGAAATTACTCTATATGACTATTTTTATTACAAAGGTAAACAGTAATAAAGAAAATTAAATGTTGATGGTGAATTATGAAAATAGATTGAAATGTTGAATGCTGACTACATATCTTAAACCTGATTAATTAATTAACAAGCCACCTTTGACATACATTTTTTTTTTTAAGAAAGTATTCTTGCAAACATTTATTAATAACTATTATATTATCAATACATTCTCATAAATGGATAATCATATATACTATCGTTAGTAATCATCTTATGTAATTTAATTATGAGATTTATTAGTATTATTTTTTACTTTTTTTTTTATCTTTATAGTTCTATAATTTGCATTTATTTAGTAACACTATTGTTTGGTCCCAGCATTAAACGCAATGGCACACTTGTTTAGGCGTTTGCCAAGCTAATAATAGCAATGCTACCCATAAACTATTATGATGTATTCATCTTTTTTTGCCTCAAAAAAATGAATAAATTCGAAGGTATACAAAATAGAAACGAGTGAACTGTGGTTGATATAATATGCATGGTGAGATTATTACTTGTTAAATATGACGAAGGATTTTAGCCGTCAGATCACAATGATCCACGACAAATGAATCTACGTGATGCATTTTGATTCGAATGTTATTTCTCGAATTATGTGTGTCATCCTTACGCAGGGGTCATGATAATCTTCTCTACATCGTTCTAATTATATCGGATGTCCCCGGAGGGGTTGATTCGAATGCTATAAGCGTGCCATTGGTACTGAGGCCACTGTTTTTTTTTTTTTCATCTTTTTCTTTTCCTTGGTAAATTCTGAACAAACATTGTGTCGAAATAACTCAGATACGAACAGATTTAGGTTGGTTAGGTAGAGATTTAAACAAACTGAGCTCGAGGTCAAACCTTCATCAAGGAAACTGTTAACTGAATGATGAGTTGATAAATGAACCCGAGTTCATCTCATTTATCAATATTTACGAACCGAGTCAAGTTGATCTCGAGCCTTAGCTATCCGAACTATAAAAAATTACATCAAAATTCCTGTTTTTGTGAACTAAATGAGTTCAATATTGGCTAGTTTATCAAATAAGATAACTCACGAGTGACTCATTTCATTTAACAACTCATTTCATTTAACAGCTCTAGTCGTATACATATACGTTCCTTAAGTTTAATCCTAAAATCAGCCTACTTTTGTTTTTCTGTAAAGAACAATGAAAGAAGTATTTGTAAAATATGGTTGGTTGCAAATGAAACGTATGACATTTCACATTCATTATATTTCTGAAAAGATATCAACATGATCTACTCAAATTATAATATAACAATTTATGGATTAAATAATGTACACACAACTACACATATATCATATATGTTCCCAATATATCTATTTCCGAAACAAAGGCATGACCTATCTTTCTCTTGATTTAACACCCTCAAGGAACAGTCTACCCATAGTTTATCATATACCTACTTCAAAA